CCTTTTTTTTTTATAAAAAAAAGCTGTAAATATCTTTACAATTTTTTTAAATAAATTATTTTCTTTTTGGTTGTTTCGTTGTTAGGTTAGGTTCTTTAGTTTTTAACTGTCGCTTTACGACATCCTGTATTGCACAGACAAAACCCTCGGTTTCCCCGAAGAGATCACCAAAGCGTAGCCAGTGGAAGGAGGCTACTGTGTCTACGAAAGGCTCATGTAGAGCCCTGTAGAACCTCCCGTGGAGCTCCTTCTCCTTCCATACGGTCTCCCGGTCGGAAATGCTCTGCACTGCCGGATCTTGCCATTGCTCGTTGGCTAAGGATAGAGGTGTAAGTAAGGATTATTATTATTTTGGGGTATCTATATAGTTTTCTCATCTAGTTGGGTGCTATAAATATATAATTATAAATGAAAATGAAAAGATAAATATACATAAATATCAATAACATAAAATAAATATAAAAGTACATAAATAAATAAAAGCCCAACCAGGTGGAGGCCCTCGGCAGGGGAGACCAAACGGCCGAGGGTTAGGGGGAAAGGGAAAGAAACCGGCGGACGATGCGGGCGGTATCGAGGAGCACCGCCTTCTGCATTTGAACCTGGAGCGGTCCGCCACGTAGTCCCAGCCGCCTCAGATGACCCGAGAGGCTGACTGGGATTAGCCCGTTTGCAGAGACGACTACAGGAATAATTTCGGTCGGCAGACCATCCCACATGTCGCTCACCTCGTGAGCCAGGTCCAGATATTTTGTTTGCTTGTCTGTTTCGGCTTTCACGAGGTTCTCGTCATACGGAATGGTAATGTCGACCAAAAATATCCTTGACTGTGCCCGGTCCATCAGCACAATATCAGGCTTATTCGCAAGAATAGTCCTGTCTGTGATGATGGCCCGGTCCCAATAGAGCCTGGCGCGATCATTTTCGAGCACGGCTTCCGGCAAGTACTTGTAATACGGCAATTTCCGATCCACGAGACCGTATTTCAGAGCGAGCTCCTGGTGTAGAATTCTGGCTACTAGGTTGTGCCTGTGCAAGTACTTAGAGTTAGAAAGCGCCGAACAACCGGAGATAACATGCCTAAGTGACTCACCGGGATGGCGACAAGCTTGACAGATGTCGACGGTGCCATCCTTTAGGATGTATCTCCGATAGTTGTTGGTCTTAATAACCTGATCCTGTATTGCACAGACAAAACCCTCGGTTTCCCCGAAGAGATCACCAAAGCGTAGCCAGTGGAGGGAGGCTACTGTGTCTACGAAAGGCTCATGTAGAGCCTTGTAGAACCTCCCGTGGAGCTCCTTCTCCTTCCATACGGTCTCCCGGTCGGAAATGCTCTGCACTGCCGGGTCTTGCCATTGCTCGTTGGCTAAGGATAGAGGGGTAAGTAAGTATTACTATTATTTTGGGGTATCTATATAGTTTTCTCATCTGGTTGGGTGCTATAAATATATAACTATAAATGAAAATGAAAAGATAAATATACATAAATATCAACAACATAAAATAAATATAAAAGTATATAAATAAATAAAAGCCCAACCAGATGGAGGCCCTCGGCAGGGGAGACCAAACGGCCGAGGGTTAGGGGGAAAGGGAAAGAAACCGGCGAACGATGCGGGCGGTATCGAGGAGCACCGCCTTCTGCATTTGAACCTGGAGCGGTCCGCCACGTAGTCCCAGCCGCCTCAGATGACCCGAGAGGCTGACTGGGATTAGCCCGTTTGCAGAGACGACTACAGGAATAATTTCGGTCGGCAGACCACCACCACATGTCGCTCACCTCGTGAGCCAGGTCCAGATATTTTGTTTGCTTGTCTGTTTCGGCTTTCACGAGGTTCTCGTCATACGGAATGGTAATGTCGACCAAAAATATCCTTGACTGTGCCCGGTCCATCAGCACAATATCAGGCTTATTCGCAAGAATAGTCCTGTCTGTGATGATGGCCCGGTCCCAATAGAGCCTGGCGCGATCATTTTCGAGCACGGATTCCGGCAAGTACTTGTAATACGGCAATTTCCGATCCACGAGACCGTATTTCAGAGCGAGCTCCTGGTGTAGAATTCTGGCTACTAGGTTGTCCCTGTGCAAGTACTCAGAGTTAGAAAGCGCCAAACAACCGGAGATAACATGCCTAAGTGACTCACCGGGATGGCGACAAGCTTGACAGTTGTCGACGGTGCCATCCTTTAGGATGTATCTCCGATAGTTGTTGGTCTTAATAACCTGATCCTGTATTGCACAGACAAAACCCTCGGTTTCCCCGAAGAGATCACCAAAGCGTAGCCAGTGGAGGGAGGCTACTGTGTCTACGAAAGGCTCATGTAGAGCCTTGTAGAACCTCCCGTGGAGCTCCTTCTCCTTCCATACGGTCTCCCGGTCGGAAATGCTCTGCACTGCCGGGTCTTGCCAATGCTCGTTGGCTAAGGATAGAGGGTAAGTAAGTATTATTATTATTTTGGGGTATCTATATAGTTTTCTCATCTGGTTGGGTGCTATAAATATATAATTTTAAATGAAAATGAAAAGATAAATATACATAAATATCAATAACATAAAATAAATATAAAAGTACATAAATAAATAAAAGCCCAACCAGATGGAGGCCCTCGGCAGGGGAGACCAAACGGCCGAGGGTTAGGGGGAAAGGGAAAGAAACCGGCGAACGATGCGGGCGGTATCGAGGAGCACCGCCTTCTGCATTTGAACCTGGAGCGGTCCGCCACGTAGTCCCAGCCGCCTCAGATGACCCGAGAGGCTGACTGGGATTAGCCCGTTTGCAGAGACGACTACAGGAATAATTTCGGTCGGCAGACCATCCCACATGTCGCTCACCTCGTGAGCCAGGTCCAGATATTTTGTTTGCTTGTCTGTTTCGGCTTTCACGAGGTTCTCGTCATACGGAATGGTAATGTCGACCAAAAATATCCTTGACTGTGCCCGGTCCATCAGCACAATATCAGGCTTATTCGCAAGAATAGTCCTGTCTGTGATGATGGCCCGGTCTCAATAGAGCCTGGTGCGATCATTTTCGAGCACGGCTTCCGGCAAGTACTTGTAATATGGCAATTTCCGATCCACGAGACCGTATTTCAGAGCGAGCTCCTGGTGTAGAATTCTGGCTACTAGGTTGTGCCTGTGCAAGTACTCAGAGTTAGAAAGCGCCGCACAACCGGAGATAACATGCCTAAGTGACTCACCGGGATGGCGACAAGCTTGACAGATGTCGACGGTGCCATCCTTTAGGATGTATCTCCGATAGTTGTTGGTCTTAATAACCTGATCTTGTATTGCACAGACAAAACCCTCGGTTTCCCCGAAGAGATCACCAAAGCGTAGCCAGTGGAGGGAGGCTACTGTGTCTACGAAAGGCTCATGTAGAGCCTTGTAGAACCTCCCGTGGAGCTCCTTCTCCTTCCATACGGTCTCCCGGTCGGAAATGCTCTGCACTGCCGGGTCTTGCCATTGCTCGTTGGCTAAGGATAGAGGGGTAAGTCCTTTATCACAAGAAATGACGTCCTTATAGAATGGATCACCCGATCTCGCCAGGAAGTAATCACGGAGGCTGCACACTTCGCGATTATGCATGGTGAGCGCGCTCAAGAAGCCACGACCACCATGCTTCCGCGGCAAGTACAGCCTCATTACCGACGATCTCGGATGATGCATCCTATGGGACGTCATTGTAGTGCGGACTTTTCTATCCAGGGCGTTAAGTTCAGTCTGAGTCCACCTGAGTATGCCAAAGGTATACATGAGGACAGGCATGACCCAGCCGTTATATGTGTGTGCCTTATTCACACCGGACAAAAGGCTGTTAAGCACTTTGGTCAAGCGTGCATAAAACACGTCGCAAACTGACTGTTTCATACCAGTCTCATCGAAACCGATGTTTTGTGACATACCGAGGTATCGGTATGTTTCAGCCTCGGAAAGGGTCCTTAAATTGACGGGCATAGATAAGTCTACGCCCTCAGAGTTAGCAACCCTTCCCCTTTCAACATGGAGGACCGCACACTTATCCGTCCCCAGCTCCATTCCAATGGAATTGCTAAATTCACAAGTGATGTTTAGCAATTCCATAAGATGGGAGCGACTGGAGGCGAATAACTTGAGGTCATCCATATAGAAAAGGTGGGTCACTTTTGTCCCTCCTTTCCGTAGCTGAAATTCCCTCCCGGAGCCCTCCAGTAAGGTACTGAGAGGGTTCAGAGAGAGGCAGAACCAGATTGGACTCAGACAATCGCCCTGGAAGATACCCCTTCTTATCCTTATGTGGTTCTCCGCAGCCATCATCCGCTCGCCCAGATGACAAAGGATCGTACTCCACTGCCCCATACACTGCTCGAGGAAGTCTCTAACTGTACAGTCTATCTTGTACAGCTCGAGGACTCTCTTTAGCCATGTATGGGGCACCGAGTCGAATGCCTTTCTGTAGTCTATCCAGGCGGCGGAGAAGTTCCGACGGTTGCGTTTCACCACTTTGCCAATGACCGCGTCAATGAGGAGTGGTTCCTTGGTTCCACGACCACCGCCCCGACATCCATTTTGAGCGCGCGACATCACCTGATTTGAGTCCAGGTGACAAGTGATTCTCGCGCTCAAAATGGATGTTAGTTTCTTGTATATGGTCGGTAGACACGTGATGGGGCGGTATTTGCTCGGGTCTGTGGTACCCTGGTCTTTAGGAACCAAATGAGTGATCCCAGTACTGAAGAGGCTTGGGAGCGACTTCTGGTTGAGAGCCTCTTGAATCTGTCGGGCGAGCACAGTGTGACACACCATGAACCCCTTCAGCCAGTGGTGATGCAGCCCGTCAAGCCCCGGACTTTTCCAGTTCGGGGCCCCACGGACCGCCTTAGCTCGTCATCCGGCGTTACCCATCCTGACGGTGCGCACAATTCTCTATCCTTTGCGATACGTCCCTCAATTCTTCTTCTCCATGCTGGGATAGCGCTACTATGGCCAGTAGCGCGTCCAGCCGTGGAAACCTTGGCGCCTATGATACGGCAGACGGCCACGCGGCGCCAAAAAGAATTGAGTCCGTCTCGCAAAGGTCCCGGCTGGCTTCCAAATAGGTAACCAGCATTGGGTTCAGAGCCCTCACGACAGTCCGATTCCGCTTGCTTAGGGCTATGCGGGGAAGTCGCGGTCGATTTTCGAGAGGCGTACTGCGCGTTTCCACAATCGCCTCTTCCAATATACTCCTCATATGCTCTAATTCCAGTTCCTGGGCGACTGTTCCATCATCGTTTGAATCAACCACAACTGAGGTATTCACGGCGGCATCCACGTTTGCGGGTTGCTCTACCATTTGTGGAGCCGCATCCTCAGCCGTAGCATTCTCATCCGACGAGGGAACAGCCTCACGTCGTAGCCGTTCGAGTTCGGCGACATCAAATATATTTGAGCGCAAGATATACCGAACTCGGTCTGCCAGGTTTTGCTCTGTGACGATTAAAGATGGCTCCAGCTCAGCAAAAAGACGATGCATCCTAGCCCGATACGCCAAACATCCAGTTTCTTCCCCTTTTGCCCCAAAAGTACGCCCGCAGTGCGTTTGCCTTCATTTCTTGTGACCAACGCATGCGACGTGCTCCACCAGCGGCGGGTGCCGCTTGCTGAGTCCGAGAAGACCCAGCCGACACCAAGCCTTCTGGTGGGGATGATGGATGCGGAGGGCTGGTAGGTGACCGTGCAGCTCCTCGCGCTCGGCTGGCGGCCCGCATGCTGCCGCGTCCAGCGCCAGCTCCAGACGCGCCCCGGCGACCCCCAGGCAGCGGCCCTTTGCGCACTATCTTTTTATCCATCATCCATTATTTGGGCGTCCATTAACGGGAGACGCCCAGGCCCGGCACCGTTTCGTGTGTAGCCATAAGCACAAACGGGCCTCTGCACCCTAAATTCTGCCGCGGCACGGCGCTCACACCTCTCGCAAGGCGCTGACTGACTGCGTTGACGTAGCAGTTTTGTCACTTAACTGCTACGTCAGCGGGCGATGGGGTCGTCAATTCCCTACGCCTATTTATTATTATTATTATTATTATTATTATGTGGGGTATCTATATAGTTTTCTCATCTGGTTGGGATGTATAAATATATAATTATAAATGAAAATGAAAAGATAAATATACATAAATATTAATAAAATAAAATAAATACAAAAATACATAAATAAATAAAAGCCCAACCAGATGGAAGCCCTCGGCAGGGGAGACCAAACGGCCGAGGGTTAGGGGGAAAGGGAAAGAAACCGGCGGACGATGCGGGCAGTATCAAGGAGCACCGCCTTCTGCATTTGAGCCCGGAGCGGTCCGTCACGGAGTCCCAGTCGCCTCAGATGACCAGAGAGGCTAACTGGGATTGCCCATTCGCAGAGACGACTACAGGAATAATTTCGGTCGGCAGACCACCCCACATGTCGGTCACCTCGTGAGCCAGGTCCAGATACTTTGATTGCTTATCTGTTTCGGCTTTCACGAGGTACTCTCGTCATACGGAATGGTAATATCGACCAAAAATATTCTTGACTGTGCCCGGTCCATCAGCACAATATCAGGCTTATTCGCAAGAATAGTCCTGTCTGTGATGATGGCCCGGTCCCAGTAGAGCCTGGCGCGGTCATTTTCGAGCACGGCTTCCGGCAAGTACTTGTAATACGGCACTTTCCGGTCCACGAGACCGTATTTCAGAGCGAGCTCATGGTGTAGAATTCTGGCTACTAGGTTGTGCCTGTGCAAGTACTCAGAGTTAGAAAGCGCCGAACAACCGGAGATGACATGCCTAAGTGACTCCCCCGGGATGGCGACAAGCTCGACAGACGTCGACGGTGCCATCCTTTAGGATGTATCTCCGATAGTTGTTGGTCTTAATAACCTGATCCTGTATTGCACAGACAAAACCCTCGGTTTCCCCGAAAAGGTCACCGAAACGTAGCCAGTTGAGGGAGGCGACTGTATCTACGAAGGGCTCATGTAGAGCCTTGTAGTACCTCCCGTGGAGCTCCTTCTCCTTCCATACGGTCTCCCGGTCGGGAATGCTAAGCACTGCCGGGTCCTGCCATTGCTCGTTGGCTAAGGATAGAGGGGTAAGCCCTTTATCACTAGAAAGTGACGTCATTATAGAATGGATCATTCGATCTCGTCAAGAAGTATTGACGGAGACTGCACACTCATCGCGATTATGCATGGTCGAGCGCGCTCAGAAAGCCACGCCCACCATGCTTTCGCGGCAAGTACAGCCTCATTACCGACGATCTCGGATGATGCATCCTATGGGACGTCATGGTAGTGCGGACTTTTCTATCCAGGGCGTTAAGCTCAGTCTGAGTCCACCTGAGTATGCCAAAGGTATACATGAGGACAGGCATGACCCAGCAATTATATGCGCGTGACATCACCTGGTTTAGCTCCAGGTGCCGAATGATTCTCGCGCTCAAAATGGATGTCAGTGTCTTATATATGGTGGGTAGACACGTTATGGGGCGGTATTTGCTCGGGTCTGTGGTATCCTGATCTTTAGGAACCAAGTGAGTGATCCCAGTAGTGAAGAGGCTCGGGAGCGACTTCTGGTCGAGAGCCTCTTGAAACTGTCGGGCGAGCACAGCGTGACACACTATGAACCCCTTCAGCCAGTAATGATGCAGCCCGTCGAGCCCCGGACTTTTCCAGTTCGGGGCCCTACGGACCGCCTCAGCCACGTCTTCCGGCGTTACGGTGATGGGGTCCATAGGCGTAACACTCGCACCCTGGCTCGCCACAACTTCCATCCAAGGGCCCTCGCTGTGGTTTACGGGCTCTGACCACAGGCCACGCCAGAATGCGATAATGTCAGCCTGATCCGGTCCTTGGCCCGCTACACATACCTTTGGCCGCTCCAATGATTTATAGAGCCTCTTCTGACCACTCTGGAAGAGACGATTCTGGTTGAACCGCCTTGACCTGTCGGTAAATCGTCGAATCCGCTTCCCCCAAGCAGCGATCTTTTGCTTCAGGTCGTCTATGCGCTCCGTTAGTTTCTGCGTGATATCCGGCTGGGACAAACTGATATTTGTCCCAGCAAACGCCATCCTAACGATGCGCATAATCCTCGGTCTATTATTACCCGACCTGAAGCTTGTCAGTCTGCCGATAAGGGCCCTTGCCTTTGCGATACGGTCCTCGATTCTTTTTCTCCAGGCTGGGATGGCGCTACTTTGTGTAGTAGCGCGTCCAGCCATGGGAAGTTTGGCGCCAATAATACGGCAAACTGCCACTGCTGCGCCAAAGAGAATTGAGTCCGTCTCGCAAAGTTCCCGGCTGGCTTCCAAATAGGTCACCAGCATTGGGTTAAGAGCCCTCACGACAGCCCGATTTCGCTTGCTTAGGGGTATGCGGGGAAGTCGCGGTCGATTTTCGAGAGGGGTGCTGCGCGTTTCCAAAATCGCCTCTTCCAATATACTCCTCATTTGCTCTAGTTCGTGGGAGACTATTTCATCGTCGTTCGAATCAACCACAACGGGAAGATCCATGGCGGCTTCCACGTGTGGATGCTGGTCTGTCGAATGTGGAGCTGCATCTCCAGCCATAGCCGATTCATTCGACGACGGAATAGCCTCACGTCGTAGTCGTCCGAGTTCGGCATCATCAAATATTTTCGAGCGCATGATGTACCGAACTCGGTCTGCCAGGTTTTGTTCCGTGACGGGGGTAGAAGGCTCCAGCTCAGCAAAAAAGCAATGCATCCGAGACCTATACGCTATTCCCACAGTTTCTTCCCCTTTCGCCCTATAGTACGCCCGCAATGCGTTTTCATTCATAGATTTTGTCCAACGCATGCGACGTGCTCCACCAGCGGCGGGTGCCGCTTGCTGGGTCCGAGAAGACCCAGCCGACACCAAGCCTTCTGGTGGGGATGATGGATGCGAGGGGCTGCTAGGTGATCGTGCAGCTCCTCGCGCTCGGCTGGCGGCCCGCATGCTGCCGCGTCCAGCGCCAGCTCCAGACGCGCCCCGGCGCCCCCCAGGCAGCGGCCCTATGCGCGTTCCTCTTTGTGTTTCTTCCATCATCCATTTTATGGGCGCCAAATAACGGGAGACGCCCAAACCCGGCACCGTTTCGTGGTTGGGTCATATGCACAAACGGACCTTTGCACCTACAATTTTGCCTAGGCACGGCGCTCACACCTCTTGGCAGGATGCTGACTGACTGCGCCGACGTAGCAGTTTTGTCACATAACTGTTACGTCAGCGGGCGATGGGGTCGTCACTTCCCTACGCCGCTTTATTATTATTATTTTATTTATTATTATTATTATTATAGAAGAAAAAACGTTCTCGAAATAAATCATTTCACTTTCAATTTATCTACGTGCGCTGGCGTAATGTTTCATAAATATAATAACAATGTTTTATAAAAATATAAACCTTTACTCCATTTTTAAAAAAAAGTCCGCGATACCTTAGTTCTATACAGGCTACAATTAGGAAATACGTGATAAAAGAATATTGAAAATTAGGTGATTAATGAGCGTTATTATTAGGCATGACACGTTAAAACTTACGAACGAAAAATATTTCATCATCAAAACAATTTTATGAAGATAAACTTTGCTCTTCATAGGATATTGACAAGATGTGACAAGTCTTGTATTTGAACAACACGATAGAGATAAACACATCATGTTAGCAGGATCACTCTTTATCCAGCATAATGTGATCATAGAATCTGTCTAAAATGTATTAGCACGATGAAAACATAATGTCCGGGAAACAGTAATACAACAATAATAGAGCTGCGCAAAGTTGAAACCTTACAGGTTTGATAGGAGGTACCCCTGACTTAGCACACACTGAGTGGTACAGTCCACTATTTAAAAGGTCAAACACAGCGTTTATGGATAACATATGCCTTATGCCTTTGTAGAGCTGTCTGCAAATCCATGGAGCTACTCTTATTCCAGGGGTAATTATAAGACGAGGCATTGAAATTATTCATTTCATTATCATCATAAGCCTTCCCCAAGGAATGCTACAAAGCACGCTTCTGAGCCACCTGCATCCATCAACTTCCTGCATGTCTAACCAAGTCGTCACTACATCTAGTAGGAGATAGCTTTACACTACGCCAGTTGTGCGGTTATTCGAGCTATATGGCCGGTCAATTGCCACTTCAGCTTACTGCTCCGTTGGGCTAGGTCGGTCACTCACTGTGGATACCCTCATTTCTAAGTTTATCACTCAAAGAAAGCCTTAGCATAGACATCTTTATAGTTCACTAACGGACCTTGAGCGTCCTCATACAGTCAGCAGTGAAAGCCCACGTCTCAGATCCGTAAGTCATCTCAGAAAACACGCACTGGTTGTACAGTCTCTTTTACAGATTTTGAGGTGACGAGATGATGTGCAGTAATTTCTGTGGTTTTTTAAATGATTTGAATCCGTCGATTAAAAGGGCGAAGTTGGACTTACCTAGTCTGACTATTTGTCCCAGGTAAACGTACTCGTCAACACCTTCGAGCTTAGTGCTCCCAACTACTACCGGCACAGGTGAGACATAAACGTTACAAATGATCTTTGTTTTATCCATGTTCATCTTAGGACTTATTCGTTGGATGGCATTATTGAGTTCATTGAGCATAGTACTTAGGTACTCCAGTGATTCTGCCATAAGAACTATATCTTCGGCAAATCGAAAGTTAGTGATGTACTCCTCTATAATCTTAATAGCGTATTTTTTTCAGTCCAGTAGCTTGAAAACGTCTTCCAATGAAGCAGGGAAGAGTTTTCGGGATGTAACGTGACCCTGTCTTACACCTCTCTGCAGTTGGATAGGTTTCATACTCTGGTTCTGTACTCGGATAGCTATCGTGGCCCTACCGTACAAACACTTCAGCACTTCAATATACCGACAGTCAACTTGGCATCGCTGAAGTGACTGTAGCACCGCCCAAATGGAAACCCCAAAACCCTTCGATGGAATCGAAGGTTTTCCATAGTTCACATACGTCAAGCAAAGTGGCAGAATGTATTCTTCGATCTGCTGTACAATTTGCCGGAGGGCATGTGTGTGGTCTATGGTACTAAAGTATCGCACCTAAAAACTACTGGTATAGGTATAACAAGACACGACCGGAGAGAGATCAGGCGCAGGACCAACGGTTTCACGTACTTTCCGAGGCATGGGGGCATTGAGAATTTCAAGACAGAAAAACTCAATAACTAATTTTAGCCCAACCCAGGATTCGACCCCGGGACCTCATAATCGGCAATCGCGTTTTTCGGCGACTATACAAATGAGGCAGTCAGTGATCAGATTATTCAAATCAAAGTGAGCAGACTAATAAATATTTTAAGGTCCTTGAGCAACTATAAAATGGATTGAAATAATAATTACGTTTGCTTTACCACGGAGTTAGTTAAATGGTTTGTATTTTACAATGCATTTAACTTAAGTACTATAAAAGTTGGTGATAGTTAAACTTAATATTTCAAAGGTGAGATTTTAATAATGTAAATGTCTAATATGTCGTAGATTTATAATTTACGCTGTGATAATAAACGGTTTAATAAAATTTTATAAAGTAAAATTTGAAGAGAGAACGACAAAAAATACAGTTTGAAATTGAAAATATTATGATTTTAATTTACATGAAAGCGTTTTATGGAAAAATCGTTCTTGCTAAAGCAGTTTATTATGTACACATGCATGAATCATGTGTAAATTAAGCACTCTAAGTTTAATTTTAATGTAAGTTTCATATATTATCTAAGTTTTCTCCATAAAATTGTATCGTACATTATCGTGTGGTAGTCGCAACATTGAAATCATCACTCGATCTCATCCTAAGTATGTTATTAGTTGGTGGTAGTTGTAAGAGAGAAGTTGTAGAAGACCTAGTAGATCTTACTGCTCTTTTTTTATGACGCCTTTTACAAGACACATGTGGTAATCGATAGGTGGCAGTAAAAAAAGAGAATTTTTAATTCAAAACATGGCAAAGTCAGTCTTGAATTAACCTCTTAAACACCAAGCGGCCAAATTTGACCGCATCGACATTCCGTCCAAAATTCAAGCGGTCAAATACGACCGCACCCACTCACCATATAGAGTATAGAAATAAAGTCAGTGTCAAACCAACTGGCGTGTGTTTTATTACATGGTGGCAGCGGTGGGATTTCAAAAATTTAATTTATTTGCGAATCCACCAATAATACGTGTATTTAGTTTATTATAAAGCAGTTTTGTGTGTATTTTATAATAAATATCATGGAATACGCGCGTCCTCCAGCGGAATTATCACTCAAAGGCGGGCCAGCCGTGCGGGCCGAAGCGTGGCGTCAATGGCGGCGGCTATTCGAAGTGTTCTTAAAAGTATCTGGAGTGAGCAAAAAGCCTAAAGAGATTCAGGCTAGTTTGTTGGTTAACCTCATCGGCTCGGCAACAGGTCACGCAAGAGGGCGAAAGCGAAGACGATATCAATTGCGTTTTGAAGAACTTCGATAGTTATTTTGGTACTAAACCGAATATAACAGTAACAAGGTTCAAATTCTTCTCGCGCAATCAGGAGAATGGAGAAAATATCGACCAATATGTGACCGCTTTGCGAGTACTAAGTCGGAAATGCGACTTCGGTGATTTGCACGAGAGCCTGCTGCGAGATAAAATCGTTTGCGGAATAGTTAATAACACGGTCAGGGATCGTTTACTTCGTACAGACGATTTGAGGTTATCGAAAGCGATACAAATTTGTCAAGCTGCAGAAATTTCTAAGGAAGAAATTCTGTGTATCGACGGCAACGAGGCGGAGAGCAGGTGAATGCAGTTCAAGGCAACCGTCGTGGGGCGCGCGGTTGGCGCAGCGGCAGGGGCCGAACGCAACGAAGGGGGGGCGAGGCGCGCGTAGGCCCAGCGCCGTAGCCCGCGCCGCAGCCCGCGCCGGCGGCGGTGGAGCCCTGCGCGCGCTGCGGGAGCGTGCGCTGTGCTGGCGGCGACAAGTGCCCGGCACGTCAAGCCATGCGTTTTGTGTGTGATAAAAAAGGTCATTTTTCACGGAGGTGTAAACAAAAGGGTGTAGTAAAAAAGGTACTTAACTTGAGTTTGGAATCTGCGGATAATGATAGTGACTCGGAAATGTTCTATATTGATACCATAAGCGAGGGCAAAAAATGTGGTAAGTCGACTAAAGAATGGTTCGAAAGCGTGAAATGTAATAACAAAGAACTTTTAGTTAAAATAGATACTGGTTCTATGATGAATGTTATTTCCAAGAGTGAATATTTACGTATTGGCTTATCGACCCGTTTTCAAAGAGAGTGTATTCCTTCACAGGAAGCCGGTTACCTGTCTTAGGCGTAGTAAAACTAAACGTAGTTTATAATAACCTACAGTTTGTATTGCCGTTTATTGTCACCGATTTATGTTGTCAAAATCTACTCGGATTAAAAAGTTGTATTACGATGGGTGTAATTAATTGTATCAATGCAATAAATATTGACAATTATTCGAGTTTGTTTAAAGGTTTAGGCATGTTACCTGGCAAATACAGTATTGTAGTGGATAAAAGTGTTCCACCCGTTATTTCTCCCACTAGGAAAATACCTCTAGGTATGAAAGACAAGTTATTAATGGAGTTAAAACGAATGGAAGGACTCGGTGTTGTTAGAAAGGTCACACATCCGACAGAGTGGGTAAATGAAATTGTTTTAGTGGCTAAGAAGGATGGTGGAATTCGTGTTTGTCTAGACCCTAGACCGCTTAACCGAGTAGTGCGCCGCGCGCAGTATTCGCTGCCCACAGTGACAGAACTGGCGGTGAAGCTGCATGGCGCGCGGGTGTTCAGCGTGCTCGACGCTCGCTGTGGGTTTTGGATGGTGCAAATTGATGACGCTAGTGCTGACCTTTGTACGTTTAGCACGCCCTTCGGTAGGTACTAACTTTTGCGCTTACCCTATGGCATAAGCTGTGCGCCGGAAGTTTTTCATGCAAAGCTCAGACAACACTTGGAAGACCTCGAATGTGTCGAATCGTTCATCGACGACTTCATCGTGTACGGATCAACTCAGCATGAACATGATCAACGATTAGAAGCTCTTTTAAAGCGTGCCCAAGATGTAGGTATTAAATTTAACCGCGACAAATGCAAATTCAGTGTTCCTTAAATAACCTATTTAGGTCACAAATTTGACGCTAATGGAATGAAAGCCGACGATTTAAAGGTAAAGGCTATATTGGACATGCCTTATCCAACGGACAAAAAAATAAAAAAATTATTTATCAAAATTCATTCAAAGTTACTCAGATTATGTGAATGAGTTGTGGTCTTTATTAAAGAAAGATTCCAAGTGGGTGTGGGAGGCTTACCATTCTGAGGCTGTCGGTAAATTAAAAGAAAAAATAACTAGTGCTCCGGTGTTAGCGATTTATTCGACGGAAGCGCCAGTGGTATTGTCGGTGGGCGCTAGCAGCGTTGCGATTGGAGCTGTACTTCTACAGAATGAGCGACCGGTAGAATTTGCTTCGCTAACGTTGACGGGCACACAGACTAGACATGCTCAAATTGAGAAAGAGATGCTGGCGATAGTTTTTGCTGTCGAGTGGTTTAAGCAGTACATATACGGTAGGTCAGATATTACAGTTCACACTGATCATAAACCACTGGAAGCATTATTTAAAAAACCGTTAACTTCAGTACCGATACATTTACAGCGTATGATGTTAAGAGTGCAAGGCTTCGATATCAAAGCTATATATACACCGGGTAAGTACATGTATATTGCGGATACTCTGTCGCGGGTCCCTCTGGTGGAGTTAATGCAGAACTATGTATCTGATGAGGTCAATGTACAAACCTGTTTTATGCTAAAGAACATACCATTCAGTCTATCACAAATAGAGTCTATTATAAAGGACACCGAAACGGATAGTGACTGTAAATTATTAATGACGTATATTAAAAACGGATGGCCGAAACATAGACGCGATGTGAGTGACAACGTTAGTGTATTTTGGCCATATCGAGAGCAACTGTCTTATGTCGACAGGTTGATTTTTAAGGGAGACCGTGTGTTCATTCCGCGTAGGTTACGGGCGCAAGTGTTAGAGCGCGTGCACGAGAGTCACCTGGGCATCGATCGGTGTAAGAGGCGCGCACGCAAAGTGATTTTCTGGCCGGGCGCAGACGTGGAGGGCGTGGCGCGCCGCTGTGGGGCGTGCGCGCTGCACGCGCCGTGCCCGCGACGCCAGCCGCTCTTGCAACATCACGGGTCGGATTTGCCTTGGCAAACCTGGCTTCCGACATATTCGAATATAAAAGAAAGAAATATATTCTCCTTGTGGACTATTTTTCGAATTATATTGAAGTCGAGGAGTTAGCCGGTATCAGTAACAAACATGTTATAAATTTTATGAAAACGCAGTTTGCTTGACACGGTATACCTGCTGAAATAGTGACAGACAATGGGCCGGCCTATAGGTCGAAAGAATTTCAGAATTTTTTTAAATAAATGGAAAATAGATCACGTTACCTCATCCCCCCCACTATCCTCAGTCTAAAGGAAAAAGTGAAAGAACCGTCCGAACTATAAAAATTTTGCTGAAGAAATGCGTAGACTGAGGCCAAGACTTTTATTTAAGTCTATTAAATTTCAGGAGACGGATAAAAACGAAACTGCCAATTTCTGAAAAATTATTAAGAGCTCCAGTAGATAACGATCGCAATTATCAATCTATGATGGCTAATAAAGAAAAAATTAAAAAACAATACGATAAGTCCACGAAGTCACTTGAGCATTTCTCGGTAGGCGATAAAGTTACTTTATTATGTAATGCTGGTAGGAAACCTGTTTCAGTAGTAACTCGTGCCGAGGAGCCAAAGTCTTTTATAGTTGAAGATGAACAAGGGAAACGGTTTCAACGTACGCGTAGCCATCTTATTTTATGCTCCAAGGATTATGGGAAACCGAGGTGGTCTCGGACTTCATCCAGTACTGCATAGTTTCAGTCCCGCATTCTAGACAAAAGTACGATTGCCTCCTTCGTGGACGTCGTGCGGGGCGCACGAAAGGTTAGGCCCGAGACTCAGGCAGACTTTTAAGTGTATCCGCATACAGACAGAGCGCCGTCATCACGGCTCAGTACTCCTACTACTCCTGGTACTGATAGCTCATTTACAGAATATGTTTCTTCACCACCATCACCAATAGTGAACATAAAAAGGTCCAAGGAACGGACTGCACGAATGTTGGCCGAAAACAACAGTAGCTTCAAGTGCAATAAAAAGTTAGTTATCCTAAAGATATTTATTTATAATCTACGTTCATTTCGTACGCCACTTTCGCGTGAATGTTATTGTGACGATTTTTGGAATTTTCTATTGTTTTATTATAGCGTTTTATTATGAAATTGTAATAAAATTTTTTTATGTGAATATAATTTGTCTTTTTTACGTAGATAATTTCCAGTAAAATATAAAGAAATAGTTGTGATTTTCACGCTGCCGACATTCGCTTGATATGTTTTTTTTTTGTTATAAGAATATAATAAAATCTTTTTGTAATGAAGTAAAACCTGGCTTTTGTTTAAACCACAGGATAGATAATTTTGTATAGATTTTATAATGCCAAACTTTTTCATAGAAGAGTAGTCTCTAAATATAAGTTTTAATGGTTTAAAGTGAAGCGGGTGGGCGCGGTCGCATGCGACCGCTCGGGATTTGCCGGGCGCATGCAACTGCATGGGATTTTTATGGAAATTGAAGGGTTAAAGTGAGAAAATATTTAATGACACATTGATTACGGCTAAAACGTGGGAAATATGATATTACCAGTGTTGGACTATAGCGTAATATTACCTTCTTACCCTACAATCTACCGCTTTGTAACTGTAACGTACTAATACTATATTATAACTACCTTTAGGGTGAAAAACGTCTTCAATTAAGACAATTTTAGTGCCAAAGAAGCTTGCCTAACTATTCATAAGTGACGACTACAAGCCATGGACACCTATAGCCAACTTCAAACTAAAAATGCTACAGGTATTTCATCTAAAGGGAATTGAATGGTTCACAACCCGTAATTATCTTTCTGGCTCTCAAATTCCTTATTCGAAGCAATAGTGGACGCAATATTGTTAAGAAAAAGAGCTTGAAAAAGCGTTCATTCATTCATGCAGCTATTTGATTGCCGCATATGTTTGTTGTAGTTACCATGCTTGGGAGGTGGTTTGGTATCTGTACTTTTCTATTATTTTAATTTGTTAGTAGGAATTTAGTGTTGCTGCCAGCTCCTATTTAATTTCCCGCCGTCGTCTCTTACGAAACCCACGGAATGATATGCGATAGTAGATTCTCTTACGCCGCCACGATTGGTAAAGAGACGGGTCATATATATGTACCTACATAAACTATTTAAATACCATTATGAAGTTAATTTATAGTTACACCAACCTGACTTGGTATCCAAATTCCACCAGGTTATGACAAAGAAGACTCGATGTTTTATAATTTTGGAAGACTATCATGAATCACAGACTGTAAGATTAAACTTATTTCTTGAATTCTCAAGCGAAGTCACTATTTGTATTAAACATGTTTTCATATTAAATCCACCAGTAGAAATAGGCACACATTATCCCAAATATATTACAAGGGTAGAGTTTTTGTAATTGCTTCTTATAAAGTACCTAATACTTCATTCTATTATACATAAATATTTTTTCGTATTGACAGTGTATCCATACCCTGCATAGTCTCGAGGGTGTAGTAAGAAAAAACTATGAGGATATCAGAAATTTTGTATTGTTACAGACATATAGCTA